GTCCATTTTCTGTTTCCCTTTTGTGTTTTGGTTTTCCAAATTTTCCCTTTTTATGTTGTAAGTTTGTTACCAAGTTGAAGTAGCTATAGTTATTTTTTCTCTCTTTTGTCATTTAAACTTTATGCTATAATAAAGTGTTTATAAACCTATTCTGATATAGAGTTGCAATTTTCTTATTCTTATTGTCTATTTATCACGTTATTCATTGTTATATGTACTTTTGACTTTTTGTTTTCTGGTAGCAGAGCTCCTTTCAACATTTCTTTTAAGGCAGGGCTAGAGGTGAGCTCCCTCAGCTTTTGCTTCTCTGGGAAAGCCTTTATTTCTCCTTCATATCTGAAGGACAACCTTGATGGATAGATTATTCTTGTAAGACAGGTTTTATTTTTCAGTATTTTGAGAATATCATTATGATCCCTCCTGGCCAGTAATGTTTCTGCTGGGAAACCTGCTGATAACTTAATGAGGGTTCCTTTGTAGGTTATCATCCCTTTTTCCCTGGCTACTTTTAAAATTCTTTCTTTGTCATATTTACTTTTGACAATTTTAATATAGTCTGTCTTGGGAGAGGTCTTTTTGCATTTCAGTAGCTAGGTATTCTCTTAGCTTCATGGACTTGTATATCCAGTTTCTTTCCCAGGTTTAGAAAGTTATCAGGTATTATTTGCTTAAATTAACTCTCTGCTCCCTTACCCCTCTATTCTCCTCTGGGACACCCGTTACCCTAATGCTCTTCCTAAAAGACTCAGATATGTTTCATAGAATTTCCTCATTTTATTTTATACCTTGATTCTTTTCACTCTTCTACTTGTATCATTCTAGATTTCTATCTTTAAGCTCACTAATTCTTTCTTTCATGTGGTCTGCTCTGTTTCTAATGTTTTCTAATGCATTCTTCATCTTGTTTGTCAATTTCTTCAGTTTCAGAATTTCTGTCTGTTTCTTTTATAGATTTCAATCTCTTTGTTAAAGGATTCATTTTGTTCATTGATTTTTTTTTCCCTGAGCATACTGAACTGCTTTCTGAGTTGTCTTGTAGCTCATTGCTTTACTTCAAGACAAATATTTTTAAATCTCTATCAAATTGCAATATGCAGTGTCACTAAGTTTTATTTGTGGAGAATAGTAATTTTCTTTCTGTGGTACAGTGTTACTGGTTCTTCATTGTGTTTGATGATTTGTTCCTAAGGTGAAGAATTTGAAGCCTCTCTCTACGTGATTCTATTGATTCAATAGGTGAGAAATTAGAGGTTTTTTTTGTTATTGCAGTAGGCATGATATAGCATAAGTTTTCAGTTTCTCTCACCTGAGCCACCTCTGGTCATACTTGAGAGTCAGTAATTTTCACCCTCCATGGCCTCTGCCAAAGGTGTATTCCTGTGGCCTTGTTACCACCACTTATGCTTCCAGGGTCATTGGTGCCTTGCTGCTGTCAATGTCACTGTTGTTGCCACCTGGGGTCCAGGATGGTGGGCTCTTCCTCTGTATCTGGGATTGCCACAGGCTCTACTGGCTCAGTGGGAATAAAGGTAGGGAATCTGGGCAACTCTGCCATGATCAGTGTTAAGTTTGCAGGCTCTGCCACTGTGGGTCGGTGGGTGCTGGAGGTGGAGATATCTCTGTAGCTATGGGGATGGGGTCACTGGCACTGCTGCTGCTGCTTCTCTGTTGTCTGTGACTGGGGGCCTGGGTCACCTGTGCCACCTTCCCTGCTGCTGCTGGATTCTCTGCAGCTGCAGGCTCAGCTGCCATGGCTAGAGGGCCAGGATTGAAGGCACTGCCTCTGCCATTCCCCTGATTCTGCTTCCTCTGCTTCCTCTGTGTTCCAGATGTGAGGAATTCTCCAGCATCCTGATTTGTTGGGCAGAAACACCTTTGTTGAGTTGTGGATAGTTTACTAGTTGTAGATTGAAGCGGAGAGACAAAGAGAGCATCTCACTATACTGTGTTGCTGACATCACTCAAGGCCCATATTTCAAATGAATTATTCTATGTCACAAAGTTCTTCTGATATAGATGATGTGCAG